TAGATGACCCTTTGATATAAAAGTGTCTAAAAGGAGAAGCCAGTCAGGAAGTGCCTTAAGCTGCATTCTCTCTAATAGCCTGCAGGGGGCGACAACTAGGGTGTCTATATCCATCTTTTAGATACAGTTTGTGTTCACAGTTGATTCAAAAGTGCACTTAATAACATAAAACATTAAATGTTAAAGTTGTGAGGTGTGTTGTTCCTAAAGCCAGAGTGTGTAAAGGTTGCTCTCTGGTAAAAAGTGATATTTAATTTAGGGCTGTAGGTAACAATTATTTTAGTAACTGAGTAATCTATCAATTATTCAATTGATTGATCCAGTAGTCAGATAAGAAATACTTTTCTGAGCAATAATTAATATGAGCAATAAAAAAACACAGGTTTTTCTAAACGAACTGCTCATTGGTTTCCATTTTAGAAATTGCAATGTTTTAATGCAAACGTGTCAGAAAAATATGAAAGAAAACAAGCCTTTGATGACCTGCTATATTAAATTTAATTACTAAAGAAAACATTTTCTTAAATGCAAAAAATATAAATAATCTCAAGTACAGTTGAAGTCAATAAAATAAGATATGTATGAAATCCAAACTAAGGCATAAAAAATTTACCTTTACTGGCCCGTGTACATTTCTGTTGGCTTGTGAAAAAAAGCTTTTGTTTTATATTTTTAAATATTAACGCAATATTTTATATTATTTCACTTTCAGTCTGAAAAATGTTATGAAAGACTTTAAAAAAAATCAATGGGTCTATTACACCCTATTCCCCCCCGTGTAGACTCACCCCTGTTTGCTGCAGGTATCGCCTCCATGTAAAAAGGGCGGCTACCGTTCGTTTAAACATGGTATCAGACATGGTTCGTTTAAACATAGATCATCTGCACATTTTAATACAACTCGGTTGTGGGCAAAATACCTGCAACTGACAAATAAAGGCTATCTCATCATCATCAACTTGATGAAGTTTACTGCAGATTTTTCTCTGTGTAAAACAAAGCAGTGGATGGAGCAGCTATAAAGTTCGCTTTTCTTTTGCTATAATTGAATCCCTCGAATTACTCGATCGATCGTTGCAGGCATAATTTTAATTTTGTGATATTAGTGATACACCTGCCAGAAGTACTTTAGTAATAAACCTGTGTCTTCGTAACACTACCAAAGCCATGCTGTAAAATTACAGTAATACAAACATTCATGTTTACACACATGAAGCAGAAAATGCTTAAAAAACACGGTGGCTGTCAGTCCCAGACCCTTCATTAAATGGATGAAGTTTAAAGTTTTTTTTAATGTGCAGTTGTGATTTCCAGAAATATTCAGCAGCACTGGGAGTACATGGTAAAATCAATACACTTACTGATGAATGTGTACATATATATACTCATTTTATTATTTTTTGTGTGGCTTTAAAGGACACACGAAGTGACGCCCCCTGTTATGTGAGCAGGTACAATGCATAAAGCTTCAGATAGGTTCAGTTATAACTATGGCTTGTTCTTGACCCTGCAGCAGTAAGAGGAAGTCCAGCAAAGATAACATTGTGGTGGAGATGAAAAGCGACAACACAGAGGAGGCGATTCTCCTTGGGGTCAACGGAGAAAAGCAACAACCAAATGACCAAGTACATATCTGATCCTGAACTGAACTCGCTAAATCGAATAGTCTTTCTACTGAATATCAAACTTACCAGTACCCCACCCAAACTTTCTCTTTTGTGATTATTTGCTCTCTGCAGTAAAGACCGATGAGCGTCTGCACGCGTGAAAGTGAGGAGGTGACACACCGACGGCTGCTCCCGTTCTCCCCTCTCAGCCTCAGGCCCCGCTGCTGCCTTCAAGCACCCACAGCTTTTTATTCCAATCGTGACTATCAGGACAAATGAAGTTATTCCAAGCTATGGCTTTTTCTCTTTCTGCCCTTTACGTGCCAGCTCCTCTGTTGGAATGCATCTCGAGCTTTAATGAAGAAGGTTGGAAAGTTTCATTTCAGAACTAAGAAATCTCCCTTCAACCCCAAGGAATGCCGCAGGTTCTCCTCACAGTGTACTGCTGATAGTCCACAGAACAATAATTAGAGCACAAAGCCGACAAGGGACTATTTTTATACCCCAAAAAGCATCACCTCAAGCCCCTTCAGTCACCGAAGAGCAGCCTGAAACAGCTGAGCTAATGTACATATTATTATCTATGTATATATTTCTTTATTTAAAGTAACACAATGTGGGGGAAAAGAGAAAAAAGCAAGACAAGATAGTGTGGTGGGGTTTTGTGTTTTTTAAGGAAGATAGCAAGGAGAGTTTAAGTAGATATTTTGTTTTTATTATTTTGTCTTTACACTGAATTGTTTTTGTAGCTCTAGCGATGCCTCACCTCTACAGCCAGTTCACAGCTTCACCAAATATTGGCTCTGAAAGAAAAATTTGAATCGCGTACCTTTCACATTATTTTGATATCTATTCCTCTAACACTCAACTTTCACACAACCTGCGGAGTATAAAGTATATTAACTAGTCATTTTGTGAGGCAGGTGAACAAATCTGACTATGTTATGCAGTCCAGTTATAAACGACCGATGCCTTAGAATCTACATTCGAAGCCATTTTTTTATTGTTATATTTAATGTTCAGCGCACTGATTTCTTTGGTGATTCATGCAGGCTTTGTTGTTGTGGAAGGAGCCACCATCTTTCATCGTTCTATACGTTCATGACATGCTTCACTTCTGTAATCATTTCTTTTGAAATTTTAAACTTGGAGAGTATTGGTGTTTGGTGAATACACATGGGTTCACGGCATGATGTTTCCTTCTTTATAAGAAAAAGACATTTCTGTGTGACGAATGAAGAAATTCATGTATCGAGCAAAACTTGAAACACTGTTGAAAACTGTTGTGTCCCAGAGAGGCATGAGAATGCCCCTCAGCCTTGATGCCTTAAAACATCAACCACTCCTCATTTAAATGTAACCAGAGCCTTTCTTTTTCATTTCGGTAACTAGACTAGACTTCACTACTGAGAAGAGGGGACTGACTGTGACTCCGCATATGCAAATCATGTTTGAAGACAGTTAAGCCTCTGTTTTGTTTCTGCTGTTGATGCGTGTGACCACTGTTCAATGTATAATGCCTTTTTAAAGACTGAAAGATAAAATGTGTTATAATATCACTGAAGACATTATAACATATTTAACAAATCTGATTGTTTGTAGTTTTTTTTGTGAAATTCTACCAAATAAAAATGGACTGTTAAATGAACATAACTGGAAATGTGTCTGCTGACATAAAAATATGACCTTTTTTATTTAGCCATACTACAAATCACTGCTGTGCCTCTACTCTGTAATGGTCAAAACCTTTAAAAACAAGTTAAAACTTGGTTACCTTCCAATTTACACACAGTGTAAAATCATTAGGATGGGTTTGAGCTGTCACTTGAGAAAATATCATGCTTAAAAACAAAAGAAATCGGTTATATAAAAGGTACCACTGGGAAGTGTCATCAAAAAAATTCAAAGAGAGCCACAGAGTACAGGACGAGCCTGACAGAGGTAGGAAGATAAAGACATCACTGGAGCCCTGCACAGCGATGCACTGCGAGTTTTCAGCCCAAGAAAAACTCAAATTACACTTTCAGGCCAGACTGAAGTTTGTCAAGAACAATCTGGAGAATGATTGATACTGGAAGCACATAACGATCATTTCAGGTACACAGACATACTGTCAATCGACTAAATGTTTCCATTTTATAAATATAGGACAGTCTTGAGATACCAGCATTAAGATAAAATATAAGCCCAAAGGAGCATTGTGGCTAAATCATGTAGAATAACGGACATGTTTTATTATAATTGCAATTCTTTTCTTATATTAAAATTTCTTGTGGATTAAATGTGCAATAAACTTCTTTACACTGACGGAAAGAGCAAATTTAACTGGTCAAAATGAGTTCGACACCCTTGTTCTTGATGAACAAAGTGCAACTTGATGTAAATGAGGATAATTTTGAGCAGGGAGTCATTCAGTTCTCCTCTAATAATAAAAATGTGGAGGCAGAAACTAAACATAACAGGTCCACTTTAAATAATGAGCCTTGTGAATTTTAGGTAGAAATAGAAATTGTTCTTTACTGGTTTTACCAAAAATATATATATTTTTTTCCTTGGATGTTGTCTCACAGATAACTGGCAAATAGTCAAATATTATTGTTAATGAACATTAGTAATATGAGTTGTAGGTATTGCACAGTAGGTCTGCTAAACATGACAGTGTGGCATTTGTGCACACAACTAAAAACATATAGCTGCTGAACATGGCGTGAATTAAATTTCCAGCATTAAATGAGTAATGTGCGACTCTGTTTTTAAGTCAAGGGGTTCTATCAAAGAAATATACACAGATTAGTATCTGAATGAATTTAAAAGGGGAGTTCATGGACAGTGGATGCCTATAAAGTGCCTACTTCTAACATCCACACCAAAGCAGGCATGAATAAGCAGATTATCCTTAGCAGTCCCTTTACAAACAGTAGGCAAGTTTATTAGGTTACATTGAAGTTTTATTTGATGATTGGTCATGTGATCTACTGGTCGGGCAGCCAAATCACATTTTGGGTTTTAATGCAATTACCAAATGCATCACAATGGAAAATGCAAGAGTATCAACTATTAAAATGGCACCAAAGCACTGAATCGGTCTGCAGTTCTGATCACTCACTGCTCTTTTTCAGTTTCATCTGCTTTGCTGTTAACTTGTTTAGAGTCTTCTCAGCCACTCCTGCCTGAGCCAAAGGATGAAATTCAAATTTCTATTTAGTTTTACCTTAAAAAGTTATTGCCAAATGGCAGCCGAGTCAAGAAAATCACTGAAGCTTGTGCACTCTGACTGGAGCTACACACGGGAAATGACTTCCCCCCCCAGTTTTAGTTTTTTTTTTGTTTTGTTTTAAGGAATACAAAGCTAAATATGAATATATGTGTAAACAGAGGAAAGAGACACCTGAAGGCTTTTGCTTGTCATTTTATTAACAGCACTGTGCATACTTCCAAATTGATATGAGCTTTAAAAACCTTTAAAATTAAAAAAAAAAAAAAAAAAAAAAAAAGCTTTTTACTGTTGAGAAGCAATGCAGCCGTGTGGAACAACAGCTCCCTCTTCTGGCAGATAACTGAAATACCCCTGGTTAGCATCAAGCTCAGAGTCTGAGGCCTGATGAGGCTGAAGAAGCATAGAGGACAGATTAACACAAGCAATACCGCATCATTTTGCCTTCGGAGACCAACAGGTACACATCTATACCAACAAACGCTCTTCCAAAAAACATCTAAAAAAACAAAAACATATGGCACTGCTCACTGAATTATTCACATAAGTAAACAAATCCTTTGGAACAAAATACATGTACAGGAATGCAAAATGAAATATAACAGCCATTTTCTTCCTCTTTTCATATCTAACTCTATACAATTTGCTTTTCTTTAGAGTGACAGTATCAAAGCACAAACTGGTATAATGTGCAAAAACAAAAACAATGGTAAATAATACAAGACAATGACATGCCATTCTTAATATATAAACACACACTGGTACAGTATTGATGATATGAGGGGAGCTTCCTGTCCATTAAACATCATTCAAGAAGTTTCTCAAGGCAACTAGGAAGAGTAAAAAAGACCCCAAAATGAAATAAAAGAGGGCGAGACAGCACAAAGCTTCCAGTCAACATGCAGAGACACCCAGAATAAGACAGGGCTGACTTACACGATGCACACACTCCCAGGGTGGGTGAAACCCCCCCCCAAAAAAAAACATTCTTCATATGCTGGGAGAGGTTCAGTCAGTGTACCTAGAAGCTGCTTGGATGAATTCCTCATAATGCATTTGTAATTAGTACCTGGAAATGAAGCTGCTGTCTTTATAGACCTGCAAACACTGGAAATAATCTTAAAAAAAACAAAACACTAATGTGCAACTTATGACAAACCAAAATGAGTAATTAAAAAAACTTGTGTGACTTCATTACGCGGAAACTTTTGGCTACATGTCACCTGGATGAACAGACAGCTGGACAGGTGAGCTGCTGTCTATGCCAATATGAGTCTCTTCTGGGGTTTTTTGTTTTTTTTTTTTTGACAGACAGGGTGAACACCACTTGTTCAGACATACATTATTATTCCTGAGTTAGCTCTTACAGTCAGCCCAAACACTGATTTTCTGTAGACTTGGAGGGGTGCGCCAACAAACCCATGAGCCTACAATTAAAAAGCCTCGGCAGTCGCTCCCTTTCAGCAGGACGAACTCCTACAGAGGAAGGAAACCGATGTGAAAGAGAAGCTTGAATCTGTTGCAAAACGTCTGGTTTCCATTCCCAGAACATTTTGCTTGTGATATTTCTGTTCCTCTACAGATTCCACTTACAGAGTATATTTTATATTTATATATATGTTAAGAAAAACAGAAAAGAAAAACACTGAAGATTTGCGACCTGATAGAGCTGTGTGCTCACAAGTCGCTTGTACTTTCAAGTATGCTACATTACAGACTAGAGAAACACATGATACTGTCACTTTAAAGACGGTTAAACACAATATTCACAATTGTACATTGAAGTCTTAATTGTTTAGCACTAACAACAGTAGCAGCAGTGAAGCACTTCTGAATTAATTATAATAACAATATTTATGATCATATTACAATAATATATTATCAAAGTAAAATCAATGACTTTTTTTTGTTGTTGTTTTTGTAACACCGGACTGAGCTGGAGATAGAAATCTGAACTAGTCAGCCTAAGAAGTTAGTCAAAAATAATAATGATGATGATAAAATAATAAAAAATAAAAAAAAGCGTTCAGCCTGTCTGGTACTGCAGGGGCGTCAACATTAGTACGTCCTCTAATCTCACTGCCAGGCTCTACAGCTACACTGGGCCCTGACACACAAGTTCGAGCAGTAGTACGTTTACAGAGCACGAGTCTTGAGTACACAGAGTGTAATTCCACATTCATGATGTACAGGAACAGGGGTTCGTGTTAAGAGCAGGCCATGAGGTGTAGGTCTGACACACACACACACACACACACAAGACCTGAAACCATCTTCATGCTACTTTGAAAAAAACAAAAAACAACAACATGACAAAACAAGCAGTTTCTAAAACAAAAAAAGTACCAAAGCAACAGTTAATCGAAGGCCATAACAGACTGAATTCCAAATGAAGAAGCTCTGCGGCATGTTTTTTTTTTTTTTTCTTTTTCTTTCCCCCCCCAAACTGCTGCTGACCAACAAACCTGGGTGAGGAAGACACCCCGACTCGTCCTCACCCAGTTACAGAAATCCCCCAACCGACTCTTTAACCTGGTCCCATCTGCGCTTTTTTCGCCTGTACCAACCGTGACCCTCAAAGCTGCGATCATTTTCACATACTATATATGCACGTACTGTATATATTACACACATTTAATATATATTTACTCATATATTAAATTTTCATATAGACATACATTTTAGTTTTCTTTGTGAGGTGTTGGTTACATTTTCAGCAAGAGGCTTCAAAATGAAAGGATAAGAATCCATCTCTCCGACATTCCTACAGAAGCCTTGCAATTATACGGCGTTCCATTATTTGTCGTTGCTCCGCACGGGATGAGTCCTGCGGAGATGTTGTTGAAAACTAAGAGGCCGGCTGCAGCAGTTCAAAGAAGGCCAGACACTGTGAAAGCGTGTGGAGTGCAGGGCGAGAGTCCCGAGACACTGCGAGCTTGCTGGAGTAACAGCCAGTTAAAAATCCACAGGGGCGTAGGGTGTCAGCCAGCACTGGAGCTAGTGCTGCAGGCAGTGGCTTTGGGTTTCGGGCTGGTCTATGCCAGCCTAAACCAAACCAGGCTGGGCCAAGCTAGGCAAAAGAGAGCAAACAGGAGAGAGGCGGGAGGATGTGCTATGTGAGAATGTGCGCGGTAGAGGGAATGGAGACAAATTCGCGCAGGATGTTCTTGGCCATCTCGATATTGTTCTGTGCAATCATCAGTGCTTTCTGGATGTCGTGCTGAGTGTATCCCTGACTCATTAGGTGCTCGATCTCGCTACTGATTTGTGGGTTGGCTTCTCCTCCTGTTGCCCCGCCGCCGAGCGGAGTGGGGGGGACTGGGCTGGCCCGGCGCTCGGAATTGATTCGTCTGGGAAGGGGCTTTGGAGGTCTCTCTGGTGCCTCCATTGGATCTGGGAAGGCTGAGGAAATGGGAAGAGTGAAATCAAAGGGTCTGGCTTTGGTGGAATGACAACCAACATAAACTAGTTTTAAACATAACAGCCAGTGTGGGTCAAAGACAGAAAATAAAACTACTGGAAATAATGTGAAAATAATGTGGAACAAAGGATCTTGATCACTGAGGTAAGCTATGAACTTTTTATCTTAACACACATTTGATGTCCTTTCCAGTGTAGTGGCTTTCAATAAACCAGTCATAAGCTCGAATCTCAGAGTTAATCAGACTGTGTGAGCACTCATTGATCCTTAGACATGAGGACTGAAGATGGGAACAATCAGACACTGCAATCATCCTCCAGCAGTAAATGTCAAGTCACAACAGAGGCCAGGACATAATGAACACAGTCTCATCAGCAACCACCTGAACACTTAAACTCAGAGGTGGTGCTTCTAACATGGAGTCTCTCCTAAGTCATCTAAAACACTGCTCCCTTTATCTACTCTCTGCTTTAACTTCTTTCTTCACACCGTGTTGTGTCTGCTGAGGCAAGTACTGCTGTGTTAGCTCCTCGCAGTCTTTGGAGGAAGACGTCTGTGTGGTCACTACGGGTTTCTGATGACACAGCAGGTCATCCCACATCAGGTTGTTTCCACCATTCTGAGGACATCGCTTTGGATTTAAAAAAAAAACAAACTATTTTAAGGTCACTAATGTAACGAAACAGCTCTCTGTAATTACTGGTCTTTACTTTTCTTTGAATCTGCACGCACCCACAAATGCAGATGATGTGCAGTAAAAGAAATCAATCCATGACAATCAAAGTCCAGAGCTGAGTCTAATATTAACTCCAGAGAGCTTCTGGAAAATCTGCATTATGTTTGGCCCCAGACCAGGAAGCAAAATGCTTTAGCTGACTTTTCAGGCTGTGATCTGGTCAAAGAACTTTTGGACGTCGAGTTATTGATTCATCAGCAGTTTTTGCTGATTTTGAGCCAGAAAGGACGTGAAGGCTGTAGTTATAAAATTGCTATATACAAGTGATTTTAAGAGACAGGCAGTTTCCCTGCAGCTGCTGTCCCAGATGTAAAAAACTTTTAAAACATTTAAAATGTCAAAGCACTTAGTAGAAGTCCATTTTTAAGCAGGATAAGCTGAATAACAGATGAAATGCAAGTAGAAATACAACATTAAAATCAGCTGTGGCAAGCATGGGTATGTTTATTGATAAAGAACCGAAATCATAGTAAAGAGAAAAAAAACAAAACAAAAAAAACACTTTTTAAAATCAATAAACTGTTAAACTTACGTGCTGTCGCTCCAGCATCCGCATCTAGAGAAAGACGATTGAAAGCTGCTGCAGCGCATAATGAGGAGGATGAAGAAGATGAAGACAAAGACCCCCCCATTTCTGAAAGGGTCCGTCGGGCGGGAGGCAAAGGCAGTCGGGGTTTTGGGAAGTCGTAGCCGTTCTCCTCCTCTTCCCCGTCGTCAGCCTCATGGTCTCTGGGACCGTTACTCACTGGTTGAGGGGGCAAATCTGAATAGTCTGAAAGGAAATCAGAATATGACATCAAACAGAGAGATTAAAAGTTTAATACATGCTTGAGACCTTAACCAGATGAAATTAAACAGGTTAACATTGTCTAAAACAGTTTCAGATAACTCACAAGTGCAGTCAGAAGTATAAGTCACATTTATGTCAATACAGAGGTGTTTATTCCCAGGATGTGCAGTGGTTGTTTTAGCAAATAAATAAAACTTCAGAAAATCCAGATGAGGCTTGTCTGATTAAAACGTAAGATTTTTGCATATTCAAAGTATTACGTGAAAGAGAATTGCCCTGAACACTGCACACGGCCCCGCCCCACAAAGCCCAGCTGAGATTAGTGGGTCACAAATACCTGAATCTCTCGCTTGTTGTGACCTGGGCTGGGCGTTGAACATGGCTTCATACATTTGGAGTGAATGAGGTACATCGTCCAGAATCAGCCTGCAAGGCCAAAAGCAAAAATAAATCAATAGTGACAGTTTATTTTTCTTATGTGCTGCGAGAGAGTAATAGAAAGGCCTGAGTACCGTGTGTTCAGTGCAGAGGCCTGGGTCTGTGTCGGGACTGCTGACACGGGCTGTGGGGGTCTTGGGATTGGTGGGGTCTCCCCCATGAGTGGAGTCGGGATGGGGGGCAGAACGGGCCGAGAAGAGGGGATCATGTACTCATCATCACTGTCATGTCCTTCATCTCCTCCTGCTGGCCTGGCTGTAGCTGGGGACGCTCTGCAGTCAGATCCAAGAATATTATTTATTAAGCACCATTTATATTATGTAAAATGATCCTTAAAAAAGGTACTGAGTATAAATCAACTTCAAACAAGGTAATTTGTACAGCTTTGTGGATTGCAAGTAAGCAAAGAGCATGTCAGTGATTCAGGAAAGACAAGATCCACTCCACTGAGATGCTTTCAGCAGCACTGAAACGTACCTGTTTGCCAGTGCATAAATGGCGTTGGCTGAGACAGAAGGTTTGACTCTGGGGTTGTCGTAATCTTGACCAACTCCCGTGGAAAAATTCTGAAAAGGAAACAAAAGATGGCATCTTAGAAACACTAAAGACAAATATTTTTGTAGTTAAAACTAAGAATCATAAATAAATTAAACACATTAAAGGCAGCTCTTAGGATTTAGACCTGCACAGACATGCCAGTAGTAAAGTAGAAGACTATGTATCAGAATACAGTGGAACCAAAGACTTTAAACTCTCAAAAAGACTAGGCCTGCTTGTCCAAAAAGTAAAAAGCCAACCTTAATGTCATTGTCACTGTTTTTGTGACAGATAACAATTTACTGGAATCCATATAAACAGTATTCTCAATAATTTCAGTTTTGTTTGGAAAGTTAGTAATAACTTTAGTGATATGTGTGCCAGCAAATGAATCAAAGGGCAGTTGAATGTGCTGTGTTTTGTGGTTGCTCTGACCAGCTGGTGGTCCAGACTGAGGGAGCTGTTGTTCTGGGAGTCTGAGCGAGCGTCCATGGCGGAGGGCAGTGCCAAGGGGAGGGAGTGCCTGTTGGAGAGTTCCCTGACACCTGCTCGGAGGTCCCCGCCCAGACAGGGGAACTGGGTGGACGAAGAGGATACCGAAGAGGATGACGAAGAGGAGGTGGGAGCCTTGGGAACCGGCCTGGAGGTCCAGTCAGACAGGGGTCGGTTTGGGGGTGTAGGAGGGAGTTTATCGCGAGGGGGCTCCCCGGGTGTGCTGGGCAAGGGCCGCCTCTGAAGCCGTCCATCAGGGGCTGCCCCGGCTGTGTGGGGACGGTCTGGAGGAGGGGGAGGGGGGAGATCACGCAGTGCTGGGGGAAGGGGAAGAGGCTTGTCTTTGTGATGAGATGGTGCCTGGAGGGAAAAACCAAGGAGGAGGGATCTCAATTAGACTACATGCGATATTAATGTGAAACCAAAGAAAGCTCTGTGCTGTTATCTTCAGTGCTGGAAGTAATCCATTTAGCAAGAAAGACACTGTTTATGCATTAGTCATCATTTCCAACAATACACGCAACTTAGATGAACAACACCAAGCAAAGATGCTGTTTATCATGTGCAGAATAATCAAGCTTTTCATCTGCAGTTTCATTTTATCTACATTTAAAAGATAATAAAAATGTGGAAATATGGCAGTTTCCCAGAGAAGGAAATCTGAACATAAAATGCCCTGATGATTGTGACCGCCATTTTTAAATTCCTTACCTGTATGAAGGAGCATTACGCGTAGGTTCTTCCGAGCGCATAGCTAGTCTATTTTTCAATCTTAGGCTTTTCCCCCTCCCCCTTCTTACCTGCTCTGACTCTGAACCCACCACAAAAGTTGAGTAGATTAGGATTAGGCACCCACTAAGGCATGACACACTCTACTGTACATAGACTGGACATCAATATTAGACTTGTAAGTTTTTACAATCCCTTCTTGTGTACATTTAGTTACCTTACTGCTGACTCCAGGGCTGGAGGCACCAGGGGGGTTGGGAGGTCTGTGCGGTAATAGGTCTAGTCTGGGAGGCACTGGGGGAAGAGAGGACTGAGGAGTCCCAGACATAGGTGATGGGGGACGCTCCACCTGGATGACGCACAAAAGAGCCAAACACAGATTTCATCTGATCAGCATTATTCAAACACAATCAGACGGAGTCCAAATGCCACTTCTCATTTTGCAAATATCACAAATCTCCTCTCATATCTCTGCAATAACATCAGGCCAACTGAAAACTCTCATAACCTTATAAGGTTACTTTACAGCACTGTTCAATATTAGAGCTTTATTTTTTCTGCAGTTCCTCAAACGTATCTTGTTTCAACACAGATGAAACAAAGAAGTACGCACAAGAAATGAGTAAATATAGAGTAAATGGTCAAAGAGGTCAGGCCAGCAATCAAAGCCAAAGAAATTCCCGGGACCACATCAAAGTGTGTATGATCTCAGGTATTCGCCTGCTCTATAAACAGATTAATGCACACAGAGTTTCTCAGAGGTACATAAAAGATGTAAGACAGGAGAATTCCCCACATATCAAATACAAAGAGGCACAAAAAGCTGCTACCTTGGTGCCATGAAAGATGGAGATGAAAGACTTTAGATAGGAGATGTGAGCTTGAAGCTCACAAGAAGTGAAAAGGCCAGGGCAGGGAGCGTTTCATCTGCACAGGGTCTCTCAGAAAAGCAGGAGATAAGAGGACAGCAGGAACCTGTGAGGTGCACTCTGGGTGTTAAGTGCCTCAGCGTTTTATGAATAGAAAAAGACCAGAATAGCTCACCCAGTGCCACGACTGGAAACTTTGAGTGAAGTAACTTTTTTTTTTAGTCAAGTCCGACTCCTGTCACCGTCTTACCTTTGTGCAGGCAAGTTTGCTCATTATTAGATGAGGGTCTTCAAGTCTGTCATCATCATCGTCGTCGTAGCTGGGTGAGGGTGCACCCTCAGCCCCAAATGTGCTCTTGGAAGACCCTCCGCTGTTGTCCTTTGGGTCAAAAGGATCCACAACTATCGGCTCCGTACCCTTAATCTCACAGCGACAAAAGGGACATCCTGTTCCCTGACCTTCTGACTCCTGCAACACAGGCCAAAAGGCAGATGGTTAGAGCATGCAGAGATGAGAAAAGGGTTTTTTCTTTTTGTGTCTGACATGTCTGAATAAAAGAGCACTTCAACAGACAGTTCACTTCTCAACAGGTTTGAGTTATGACACATGAACAACCCACACAAACCCCCTTGCATACACCCACTCTTGTACCTGCCAGGCAGTGAGACAGGAAGTGCACATGAGATGACCACAGGGCTCAATCTTCACATCCTTGTCGTTCTCGGCACAGATCTTACAAAGCTGGAAAGTGGAGCCCATCTCACAGTACAGCTCGTATTGTTCCTGCGGGGAGAAAAAAAAACATGACAAGACGGTAACATCACACAGGAACAACAGCACCTGAGATCCTTTTGAAAGAAAAAAAAAAAGGAGAAGAGAAAAAAAAAGCCTGGAAGGATCTAGAGCAATAGGTAGTTGTGGGGGTGTAGTTTGAGTTTCAGTCCAGTGGCTGCAAAATGAGTCTGTTCATTGTACTTACAAAATTCTGAGAACATGTATGAGTCTGAAAAGATCTTCTACAGTATTTAAAACAAAGTTATGAATAAAAATGTTGATAATACTCAAAATTCTTTAGGACTCCCACTGGATGCACTGCTGTAAGAGTGTGATCAGTACTGGATCCCATCTAACCAATCTTATTAACAGATGTATAAATTGTTTAAATCCTTTGTTTAGTCATCCAAACGTAACAAACCATTTTAACACTGCAATAAAATAAAAAGCTCACGAAAAAACACAGGGTTTTCAAGGGTCTTAGAAGAAGGCTGCTCTGACCTGGGTGACTTTGATATGGTCTTGAGGCGAAGGCTCGCACAGTCCTGTCAGGTCAGGATTTTGAGTCCGGCCATCAGGGAATAAATAGCTGCAGATGTAGAGACACAACAAATTAGTAAATCTATATAAAGTATCCCTGGGTATTTTGGCAGGTATGTTAATTTAGAAGTAATGATCATTATTAGTTACTGCAATTATGTGGCATGTATACCTAACAGGCTGCAGTAATGAAAACATCTGTTCAGTCCATTCATTCGCTACGAGTTTGTGCATGTACAATACGTGAGTGTTTTCTAAATGAGTCAGACTCTGTAATTACCATTTGATAAATGTTTCGAAGATAGAGGCGATACAGTTTATAAGCTTTGAAAAGTTTTCAAGATTTCCCACTTGAAATCACCATTTGATTACACGGTGGAACAGACCAACTATAGCTGTTATTAAACAAAGGAATCAGCGCTGGCTTAAAAAGATGAGTTTTACGCCAGTCAGCTAAATCAACAACTCTATTGTGGTTAGAACACTGGAATGATGGGAACATGTAAAATGATATGTCTGAATTGGCTTAGAGCAAATCTCACACACAAAACTGTGCAAGCTTTGTAGGAAGAAAGGACAGAACAGGAGAACGAGAGAAAAAGAGGCGCTCTGCAAGTAAAAATTACATCGAATCAAGGGAATCAAGACTGAACCAGTGACAAAGACAAAAAAACAGAAGCTCAGAGCTCTGGATGGAAAGCTGCAAGAAAATGACATGATTTTAAGTGAGGCTCACAAAATGCCAGTTGACTTACAATCCTTCCCTGAAACCATCAATGAGAGCCTGGAAGAGGGGTTTATTATGGGGAATGGTCTGGAGTATATTTCCATCTGCAGTCACGTAGCCAATAGCCCACTGGCCCAGTCTTGTGCAGCTCAGTCGGAAGATGTAACTGAGAAGAGAGGAAAATTTTAAATAAGAAGAGCTTGAATGGTGTTAAATGGTCAGATTTAACTCTGAAAAAAGTAATAAAATACAATGAGATGAAATGTAGTAAAAGGGCAGCAGTGTCTGCAAAATGTGCACAAGAAATACCTTCCAAGTAAGCACAATCCAAATGAAAATATGCAGGCTGCATAATAAACATGCATAACAGAATGTGGCAAAATCAGCTACTTTTTTCTAATTTGCATTTTCATTACAATACTGAACACATATGTACATAAATATATACTAGATCATGGGATACACATCACAGACACACACATTACATTCCGTGTATATAACACATTATAGAAACATTAAAGCAGCTGCGTTTACACCATTGCCGTAGTTACCATTCGACGTTGCTAAAGAAGACAACTGGGACAGAACTGATTGTAGGAATGACAGAGACACAAAACCCATCACTGCTTATCAAAATAAAAGATCAATAACTAACATCAACTGCAACTGGACTAATACTGGTTCATAAGAATGACACTGTTGTGGAACTGGAGGTGAATGCACAGCATGTTATATCAGATAAAAATAGCCGTTTGTGCCGTGGGATGGACAGTAGAAAGGCAAGAACAAAACTGAAGAGATAAGAGATGGACCACTCCCCCCAATATGCACTTCTCTAGTTAACTGCACAAGCTGACCAATTTGTATACAGAAATGAAAGAAAAGAGGAAGGAATAAATAGGCTTAAAAATTGGCAAGACTAAGTGTTGGTCACAGCCTCGATGTTTAGCACAGAACTGTTGTAGCCATAGTACCAACATCATTCTCTTAATGGGGCACAGTAATTTAGAGCGTCAAAAACGCTGCACTCACATCAACCAGTAACTACTGCTCCAATGTCAACGTGGCCCTACACGGGCCAGGCCTGAAAAGTGACATCAGCTTTCAGCATACAATCAGGCCATTGATGCAAGGTACCAGTGCCATGCTGCCCTGGGTTCCTCACACACAAACTAAGACACATGAACACACAAACTTTTGCATTAATTGTGAGTGAATCTGGCATTAAGGTTAAAACTGTGCCCTCTCTGTCCTCTACCAGGGACAAAAATAGGACCTGGGTGCAACTATCCAGTTGCCAGAGTGATGATTTGATGTGTGAGACGTGTGTCTAATAATGTACAGAATCATGTTGCTCAGTGCTAAAATATATGTTGATAGAAAACTAAACTGTAAAAATACATGCAATGAAAGGTCACCGTAATGGTAGAAACATTTTGGGTATGAACTGCATTTACAAATGGGCAGTTATGCTTTATGTATTCACTGCACTGCACAGTGCAGTGCAGTGAATATGTGTTCTGTGTAGGGCTGCATGAATAGCAAAACAAGGCTTTTTGTTTTGGCCCCGTGTTGCATATTCTGCTTTTGCACCCAGCATTTTTCACCAAATTGTGCAATATGTCCAAGTAATCTATAGATTACAACAGACTGTAAAGTTACCAAGCAACTACAAGGTGGTACTGGTAAAAAGAAATGGTGATGCTCGATTAAGTTCCTATACAATTATCTATCTATGTCTGATATAGCTAATGCTTTATGAACCATGTTAGACATTCAGTGTTGATGAATATTTCACGAAGTCTGGTGTGGATGTCTGGTATCATGATATCTCACCTGCCAGGCTTGTGAATGAACTTTTGAAGCCGAGCTTTGACCTCATCGTAGGTGAGGAAGGCCATGTACCCCGGGTGAGTAACTGCCAAGCTGTTCCAGTTCCGCAGCAGGGATGACCAAGGCTACACACACATACACACACACAGAGAAAGTGAGTCATCTGATGTGTGAATGTACATAGCAGTAACAGAATGAGCACAGCAAGAGTGAAATATATTGCATCACTGGTGATATTCAAGGTTTAAACAACTGTTTGGCAAACCTCATTGTGATGTACAATGACCGGGATCAATCTGCGCAAAAAGGTATTTTAAGCAAAGCAACTCATTTGGCACCACCTGGATCACAGAATGAAGACTCCTAGACTTTAGTAGACTGCTTTCCATAATGTACATTCAAAAAAAAAGAGAGAGAGAAAAAAGCCTGGTTTATAGGAGCTCATGTTTCTTTCTTTAAAGGCGACTTGACCCACATCCAGAAATGCTCACAATAACTAGTAAAAATTTAACATGAAGAAGAACAGGGAGGAAAAAAAAAAATCATGCTACTCCACAGCACACTCACTGAATGCATGCTGTGGTGAGTAGGTGGTTCTGCAATTGCTATCGTTAGTCTGTCTGATGTGTGAAAGGAAGCAGAATTAACACATATGACACTTAACGTGAGCTGCAAAATTGAGGAGATGCAAACATGTTAATGAGACCCATCCAGTCCTCTTTCAGCATCACAATAGTTGCCCAAATGAAAACCTAACACTGCCAGTTGCCTAGTCCAGCTCCAGCTCCACCCTCAATCTAACCTTAATCACAGAGAGGGGGAGCTGGACGTGGTCCAGCGCCGCCCATTTGGCTCTGCAGTAAGCAGCACTTAACACAGGAAGTGACAAGTCAAAACTGTCTCCTCTGGACTCTTTTCTGGAATATATTTTATCACATGTCTGTTGTAGGCTTTAGTATTTTTTTCCCCCTAACAGACTGCACTAAATAAGTGCAATAAAGTCTGATGAGTAAGGTTATATCCAGCAACTGTACAATTACTTTTCAGGTACATCTTAACGACATTTGAAGGGCAACTCATCCTAAACCACTCCGTTTTCACCTAACTGCACTAAGAATGCATGTTTTCTTATGTGCCTATTTATAATCAAATCATAATTCAGCCTAAAGATATTGCATGAAGAGAGATGAGATATCTGAGAGGGCTTTTAAAGCAATATAAAAAAATAAATAAATAAAAATAACAGTCTGCTGCATATCAAGGACAGAGCTTAAAATGGCCACAGGCTCACTTCCTCTTCTGCGTTTGAGGACATTTAGAGGAGGACGTTTTTGTAAGAGGGAGTGCCATAGGAAATGTCTGTAATCTGTTTAGGCTTCATTAAGCCTGTCAGTAACATACACATAAGTAGGGGTGATGTCACTGAGGAATAAACATTAGCTGTTGCATACAAGAAATTGTGGTTCACTCGAGAGATCAGTGGTTCTCATTCGATACAGTTTTAATTGCAATACTGATGCAAAGAACTTGTACTACAAAATAAAGATAAGCCCTGAAGAAGGTAGATAAATGCAGCCTTTGTGTTCCCCTTCCCAATATCCTTTGCTCTTTTTTTTTTTTTTTTTTTTTAAATCTGTCCTCATTCTATACTTAGAGAAATTTGCAGCACTTGCACACCAGAAGTATATGACAAAATGGCACAGAAACAAATGCGCTGCTTCATGATTGTGAAATATAAATTGTGGGTTGTATTTAGCCCTTTACCTCTGACACAGGATGCAAGTAGACAACCAGTAATATGAGCTATAAAACACACAGTTAATTTAGGGGATAGCAAAATAAAAGTTTAATTTCTTAACCTCTCAAAGATTTCATGTCAAAGAAATTCTACTTCTACTATTCTACTTTCAACCTTGCTACTTATTACTTTTCTGGAAGTAATAAAATACCTCAGGGAAGCACATTTAATGACTCTTTGAGAAAGATCGCAGTGTCGCTCTCTAGCACAAACGGACTTATCTAGGCCACATGATGCAACAACAGATGCCTATTAAAGAGTGAAAAATAATTCCCGAACATATCCTTGTGTACTGGCTGGGCAGAGAAGGAGGAAACTTTCATTGTCAGTGCTGTCTGATGGTGTATATACGTCAACAGACATCCTGCTAATAAGTTGATAGAGTTAGCTGGGAAAAAAGATGCGGCTGATTAGTTTAAGTTCATTATGTTCTGCTTAAATGAAATCCGTTTCCTAGACCAAGGCTAACAAACCCCTAGGAATTACTCTCCATCTTGGTCTTCTCTGTCTCTCTCTTCCTTTGCACATTTCTGCTTTCATTAGCTCAGGAGACCACTATAAAACAAAGAGAAAGATGCAGTGTGCATCTGTGTGATATCTACCTGAAATAGCCTGGTGAATATGTCAAACTCAAAGACGGAGATGTAGTCATTGCAGGTTAGATCTATGGTGGACTTTAGGGCCATAGCCTCCAGCCCAGAGCTGATGGGATGAAACTCATGGAGAGACTGACGGAATACCTTCCAAGGCACAATGGTTCTGTAACACACAAAAACACACATTGGATGATGACATCCCCTCAAAAAAAGTGTAATAAAGCATCAAGAATTCAAAGCTCATAAATAATGATTCTTAAATGTAGGCTACCAGCATGCTGTCTTGCACAATGAAGGTAAAGGTGCAATAAGAGTTTTGGTTTTAACTTGTGAAATGCTACATGCATTTCACAAGAGCATTTTACAGGTTATGGTTGGTATGTCTGTATCTAACACGCAACACATACCTCGAAATGCAGCCATGAATAGCCTGTGTGTAAAACCTACAGTGATTAACATCTGATAAAGAGGAAATGCTATTATATTCAAGTCATCTTTGTACTGGACATAAATATAAACCTGATGTGAACTGAATTTCAGTCCTTTGACCAACATTTTCAATATACTCAACTTTGCAATATTTATGAATCCCTTTTCTTTTAGGGAATAATTACGCATACACACTAACGATTGTTCCCTAGGATGATTACATCCCCTTGGTATCTGACTTGTCTGTGTATATAGTGACTGATTAACCAAAATGTGCGCACAGAACATTAGTTGTGTCCATAGTTGCATGTGAATAAACCACAAAAAGACATTAGTGTTCTTTAGTCACTGGACCAACATTTGTCCCAGGGAAGATATTCATTGTCTGATTTCTGTGAAAGAAGGCAAAACCTTCTCCTCTCAGATGTTCCACAGAGTCATGTGAGAGGGGAAAGAAAAAAAAAAAAAGACCCTTTTCCTCAGCAATCCTGTGAAAAGCGGAAAATACCCCATGATTGAACAACTTGTAGAACCACCTTTAGCACCAATAATTGGAAGTAATCTTATTTTTTTCTCTCACATTGCTGCAGAGGAATTGGCCTGCTCTTCTTTCTGTCGCCTCAGCACACTGAGGTTTGTGGGTATTTATGAATTCACAGCTCTCTTAAGGTCCCACCACAGCATTTCAATCAACCTGATGTCTTGAATTTGACTGGGCCATTACAACACCTTGATTTGCTGCTGTGCTTGTTGTGATCATTACCCTGCTGCGCAACCTCACATATGATTCTAGAATACTTTGATACACAAATGAGTTTGTGGTGAGCTCGGTAACTACAAGGCATCTGGGTCCTGTAGCTGCAAAATAAGCCCAAATTATCGTCCCTCCATCACCGTGCTTGACAGCCGGACTATTGAGTCTGAGATTGAGCTCTGTAGTCGTTTGAGTTTGTTTTCTCCTGAATTTGCTGGGATGTCCACTGATGTACTGATGAGATTGTGGCATTTTGTTAACACAAATCTGAACCATCCAGACCAGCAAATAGCTGAAACCTTTGCTTTTGTAGAGCTGATCAAAGTTGCTGATAATCAATAAATCTAGTTCATTTGAATGGCTGCTATTTATCCTCTCAACTCCTGTGGAAAGGAGCACTTAGTTTTTCACAGAACTACAGATTCTCTTTTCACATCACCATATATCTTCTTACTGATTTGCACTATTGAAGTTCCTTTTTACAATTTAAAAGTGACTCTTTAAGTTTCCAGGAACCACTATGATAATACACACACAAATGTGCTTACTTATCCCCGAAGGCGCGTCTCCAAAACTCTGCAGCATCTGCCTTAGTGATGCGGAAGTTGTCACCCTGAAACAGACCATTGGGGAAGATGGCCTTCAGCTCAGCCAGCATGTGGCTGAAGATCAAAGACAGCTTGGTAAGATTCCTCCTGTGGAAGTCAGGAACAGAGGGAAGACTGTCAGATTTAACATGTTAAACAGTGAATTGCTGTTAGATGTTCACCAGACCGTGCAAAGGCCACAAGAGAGAAATGCTGAGTAACATTAGTAACTTATTAGCATCACAGCTGGATTTTATTCAGATTATACCGTGTGTATTATTTACCAAGGTTGGAATTTCCAGAAAACAAAATCTGTTTTTGAAATTCAAAAGTAAAAAAAAAACCCCCCACCAAATACACAACCTCAGTGTCAACTATAGTTTTAACGTGTCACACACAGTAGTTTACGGCAAATAAGCAGAAGTCAACTTAGTGTCACAAGCTATACACAGTGAGAAAACAATGTTTTCAGCTAACATGAGTGTATTCAAGTACAGTTTTACTTGTGGATAAAATACTGGCGAAAACACTGAAACAGAAATAGTAAATATTCAAATGCACATCAAACATGCAGTTTCCTGAGTCCACCAAAAATAATAACCTATTTAGCATTCTTGCTTGCTCAGCCATCTGTGTCAATGCAAAAAAGAAATGCAGTGATGTGCTGTGGATGACTGTCAAGTGTTCAAAAACAACCCAAAGCATATTACACACACACACCCAAACATACAGTGTCACATGGAATGTGACTTTCTGTTCTTTTTTTCCTCCAAATGGAGTTGAGGTGGCAATAGGATTCAGTGACTTACAAACTGTTAATTGGCTGATAAATAAGCCTACCCTTCCCCCCATGTCACTGCAAAATGTATATAACAAATACATCAGAATATACAATGGAAATGATGAGTCTGGTAAAACATGAAACCCTTATCGTTTCCCTTTGTGTATGACTTCTGACTACTTTTCATCCTATTTCATCTGTTTGTCAGCCTGTTATTCAATCTATGTTAGTGAAAAGGGGGGATACCATCATGGAACACAAAGAAATTTGAGATTTGAATGCGAAGTGCAGGCTACCATAGAGATAACAGATTCTTGCTCCTCAAATCTGCCGAAACATGGATGGTAGTTAAAAGAACGGGCTTCCAGGTTTAAATAACAAATAAATAGCAAATCAGCTAAGGACATTCTTACTGAGAATGTCCTTAGCTGGTTCTATGATCTAGAAATAGCTTCAGGTTCTTGCATACATTTCACAAGTACATGCATGCATGCATCTTTAGAGTGAATACGATGCAAAGGTTAGGACATCGTAGTACATAGTAGTACATAGGTGTGACTTCAGTTGGTCAACAACAAAGGAGGAAATAACTGAAGAGCATGAAGCCAAACAAGAAAATGACATAAAGATGAGAAAATACTTGACTGGGAAATAAGAGAATGAATTTGAACATTATCACCATGCCCGTGCACCACATCACAGCATTATAAGCGTTAAGCTGAGAAAGCGGTGATTTACGAGGCGGCACAGAAGGAGATTGTGCTTGGCTGTCGGGCAGGGTGAATTGACATGCACGAGAGAGACAGCAATGAAAGCGCGGCTACGCTGCAGCTGCCCCACACTACAGCACACGCCCTATGAGTGGAAAAGCGGGGAGTGGAAAGAGTGAATGAGGAAGCAGGACAGTGACCAGAGATGGATGAATAAGATTAGTGTATATTGACATCCTGCCAAAATAGAGTAGTACTTGTTAAGAAGACCATTTACCACAGAGGGGTATACAAGAATCTGGGGGGAATGATGCAAGGCTTGCACAAGTGTTTTACACTTACACCCTCGCGATAGTAAATGATGACAGTAATCACTCTTGTAGTCCTGATGTCTAATCTTTTTAAATGCTCTGCCCACTTAAAATCTACAGCAAAGACTTGAAGCTAGATGCAATGACTGCTGTTGTCTTTGAAGTCCAGGCTAGCCTCTTCAGTGATGAAATGTGACAAATGAGACCAACTACTCCCAGCATTTCCCTTAGGAGCTCATGTAGCTCTATTTAAGAGCATCTTCCCTTTCCAGCATCATCTCAGGAATGACAGATGTTTGTGACACTATATTTCTGTGTGCTTTCTTCAACAGCTATCATCTCAGCAGGAGGTCGCCCTCAGTTACTTCTGCTTCCTGGCTGTACTGGCCTGCTGAGCCTTAAAGCTGCTGCCTTATCCTTTCTTCTGTCAAGCTCTCTCTACTCTGTACTTAGATCTAAGTTACAACAGCCCCCTCCTGCTTTTCTTTTACCTACAACATAATCACATAAAGAGTCTTCACCTCTCTCAAGTTTGTGTGGAATTGCTCTCTCCTGACTCACAGCTTTCATTTCATTTTCATGAGGGTTACTTTGCCATCTTATTCATCTACTCATCCACTCCCTTCATCTCTGAACCTAAAACAATCATGGAGACTACTTAAGTGTTTGAGCTTATAAAACCATCTCTTCAAACCCACCATTTAATTTAAATTCTAATTCACCAAATGTAATAATACATTTGAATATAACCACTTGGGGTAGACACATTTATATAGGCACAATGAGCATTGAAATTTGGATCTTAACAGATTCAAAGTTTGAGGTGAATTTCATGTGCACTGAAGGGGAATAAACTGAAAAGTTTTTGTGGCCAACTTGTGAGACTGAGAAAAAGTAACAAATCCTACCAGGTTCAGCTAATCCTTAGATCACAGTGGGATAAGTTCAGACAGAAGGTAAAGCAAAAACATGCACTATGCATCAAGTCTTTGGGGGAAAAAAGTGTCTTTTTTGGTTCAGTCTTACTTTCCAGTGTATGAATGTGTGTGTGAATGGGTGGATGACTGAATGTGTAAAGCGCTTTGGGGTCCTTAGGGACTAGTAAAGCGCTATACAAATGCAGGCCATTTACCATTTAACTCTTGTGAGAAATCTGGATGTCGAAGCTGACTGCTAAAGATGCTTTTGGCTTTAAAAATCAAGAAACTACCGTAATAAAACAGATCAACATGCAGAAGAAGCTGCTGAGGCAAGTTAATTAAGTTGCCTAAACTACAAAAGCACCAGAAGCTTCATACAGGAAGTGGAACTATGTAATTAGCTCAGTCAAAAATGGGACTGCGCTCTTACTTGCTGAGTTTGCGATGATGTTTGGTGCTGCTAGGCTTTAGATCGAGATCGATTTCAGTTAAAGCAACCTGCATTAGCAATTTGCTATCCATCAATCTTGTGTTTTGTAAGTAAAAGGTACAGTGTGTAGTGATTCGATTAGTGTGACTCACAACTAGAGAAGGAGTCTGAAAGTTAACATTGGTCCTACTAGCATCACAGTTTCACAGCTGTCTATGGCACAATATTAGCATTGAAAATAAAACATTGTATATTTTTGTCTGTAATGTTGAGGAAGCACTAAAATTAGCTGAGTGAATATTAATATTCAAAGCTAAGATACAAGTTAATTTAAACTATAAACTGATTTAGTATCTCTCAGCCCATCTCACCCTAAAACAGCATCTCTGTACTGTGTGTACACTTGGCAGTAGCCAATACTTCAATAGCCAGCTTTACAACAGTCACTACTATTTGAAGTGCTGTGCCAGCAGCGACGATGAAGAGTAAGTGTGCTACAATCATACAAAATAGCATGCTGATATAGACTGTCATATACTTCTATAGTGCTCTGTTTTTCCTGTAGTTACACTGTCATTCTTAACCACAGTCAAAGGCCAAACCTTTTTTTGAACACTAGGTTTTTGTCCTCCATCCCCCTCATACTATAGAGTGACCTCTGACCTTGCAGCTGGCTGCTCCCTTCCTGTTTCCTGCTGGTTGTGATAAAGTAGCACAGCTAGCCGGCCAGTAATGCATTACGCTACGTTAATTCACCTCAGCACAGCCAGCATGGGTCATCCTCACAGAATGAGAGCTTTTCTGGACTCGCGATAGCCACAAGTAGCTTTGGTATTATCACGCAGCTGTGTTATCGCTTGTGCTCGAGGCCAAAAGGGAAACGCAGATCAAACACAAGCCGTGCTCGGCAAAGCTACCAGAAAGTCATTTACAACATCATATAAAATAATTAAAACTAGAGCAGAGCTAAGTATGTTGAGGACAAATCCAGAGACCCGAAAAAACATAGGCCTATGTTCGCCTCCTTCACTCCCAGTGGATTACAATTTTATGTAATCCAGAGATTTTGGGGAAATCACAAGAGCAGTAAATTTCTCAATAGATTTGAAAAGCATTTTTGAGGAAATACACCAATGTGTCACATTTGCATCGCATCATAAGACTATCATGGTGTTTTTTTGTTTCTGAGTCTGTGGTTGGCTTTTTCAGTTTGAAAAATTCCTAAGAGAAAGACAACACAGCCTCAGTACACCGAGCAGTTACAAGCTCATTTACTACAACATGAGAAGCCACTGCTGTTTCAGCAGAATGCAAAGCGCTGTACACAGGACACAGCCTGCAACTGTGTTAATACCACTGATTAAGATTTGGCATATTAGGTATCTACATCATGAAGATAAGTTCCCAAATACAAGTATTTCAGAACAAAGTAAATTAATTTCCAGAATTAAATGTCAGAATGTCAGGAGATCACACACACACACAGACACACAAAATCCATTAGACCAGTCAAAGCTCTCTCCAAACTGAAACACTCTTACAGTCCTACCATCCTGTACTTTTCAGGCACTGGCAGATCACATTTTTATTGACTCATGATGGTCCAGGGAAATGGGGAGAGCACTCTCCATCAGGGTTAATAGTAACTCCAGCACTGAACTTATAAATAAACAATGTGGTAAACTGTGATAAAAATATACAAAGATATTAAAAATGAATGTAGCTGTTGTACTGGAGTGTACACAATGTGTATGAAATTCTGCTTTCCGGTTTGCCTCAGTCATCACTTTTAAACCTCCAGAAACTGGCCTCATTCCAGAGCAATATCAGGAAACGGCCATGACAGCAAACAAGCAACAACCACGAGACAGTGTGCTTTAGCAATGATCCAAGCACACTTATCTGTTCCTGAGCAGTCCTTAATAAATAAAAACATTGGGAAAATCTTTTCAAACG